CTGTTGATGTTGCTGTTGATGTTGCTGTTGATGTTGCTGTTGATGTTGATGCTGTTGTTGCTGCTGATGTTGCTGTTGCTGCTGTTGGAGATGCTGTTGTCGTTGCTGGATATGTTGCTGTTGTAAATGTTGTTGCTGTAAATGTTGCTGTTGTTGTAAATGCTGTTGGTGTTGCTGTAAAAGTTGTTGCTGTTGCTGCAAATGCAAATTTGACGGTCTTTGTTGCATTTGTTGATGAGAAGCCATAAGGGTAGCTCCAAACTCGCTAGATTCAGTCATTGGCTCGATGGAATCCAAATCATTGCATACACCACCTAAAATTAAAATTTTCGGCCCAAGACTCGCTCCAACCACATAAATCTTGTTCAGTATAGTAATATAAACCTTCCAATAACCTACACATAAATTTCGGAGAACTTGACTATACTTTAAAATAATATTAAATTTGAAGCTAGTGTCCCAAGAAATGATAATTTTTTTAAAAATTTTTTAGTACAATTAGGCAAGAAACTTACAGTCATCAGCTATATTGGCACCCAATTCATCATCCATATCAAAATCCCCTTCACCTTGCAATACAGGCAAACAACTTTTTGGTTGCATATCTAAACAGTGTTGCTCAGCAAGAAAAGATGCCTGATGGTGAGATTCTTGCCTATGTATAGACAATGATTGTTGCTGCTGAGGTCTTGAAGGCATGACGACTTGTTGCTGTGATACAGATGGTTGTGAATAAATTAAACTAGATGAAGGCGTTTGCTGATTTGGTGGCTGTTGATACATATTAGGCTGCTAGAATTTCCAATGACAAAATAATATTTTTTATAAGAACTCGGCTTTAAAAACATAACAAAATTAATATGAAGAAAATAACACTTTTAGTAAGATATAAAATAAAAGAAAAAAACTTACTTGTTGTTGATAAAGTGGAGACATTGTATTGCTAGACTGAGATGCCTGTGAATAATCAATGTTCGCATTTCGATTTGCCAAGGTGGGACAGTGCACACTGCCTGATGAACTAGCATTCATTTCGGATACTACAATATGGAAAACAATTCCAGGAATAGCGTCATACCAAAATCGTTTGTAAGAGGCAATTTTTCCGAAGCCATAAAACACCTTCATATGCACAGTGGCACGAAATCTAATTGCTTTTCTTACATAAAGTCGATGTTTTAGATCATGTTCTGTTCATTCAACGCATAAATATTATTCAAAAGCCATTATGAATAATAAAGAAGTTAAGAACCACAGATAAGGTATACGCTTCAAAGATTTTGTCAAAAGATTCAACTCAGATGCTCATTTTCAGATCAGAACAATGAAACACACTGTTATCTCCTTGTGGATATAACATTCGGGGGTGATGTGAATGACTGCCTTGCCACTGATGTTGTATCTGGCCACCATATATCATTTGTGGTCTTTGCTGAAAAGTATTCTGGATCTTGATTCTTATATTGTCAAATTCACACATTTTTTTAATAATTTAAAATCTCTACTTTTTTTGCAAGTACAAAATAATGAATTAGATATGGATGATTATGAAATGTCGGAAACTTGAAAAATATACCTGTTGCTGATGTGGAACCCATACATTTTGCTGCTGATAATACGAGTTTGATGTTGGATTCTGAAAATTGGTTAAATTTATCTGTTTTTTAAGGTTTCGCGTTTTTATTAACAAATTTCACTTAAAAAATTACCTGCATCATCTGTGCTGCTTGTGGAGAGACAGTAGGAGAATGTAAAGTCTGCGGAGGATAGGCTTGCGCATGCTGTGTATATGAAATTCCTGAACTGGCTTGAGCAACGTGCATAACCTTGAATCTTATGGGTTTTTTTCAATTTTTAAAACTTGTTCAACAATATACCACACGTTTTAATAATGTTAAATTGTAAGTGCTTAGCAAATTGATTATTTAGATTCTAAAAATCATGTTAAAAGGATTTTAATGCACATGGAAAGATCTAAAATATTTGTGATGAAATAAGCACAATGACAATCGCAACCTGCGACATGGCAGCAGGCCTGTCGACAGTATGAGCATTAGCAGAAGGCACTCGACTATTCATCTGCTGCTCTATCATGAACTGCTGGTGTTGTTGTGCAGCGACAGCAGCCGCAGCCATTTCAGCTTCTTTCAACTGTTTCTTCGTAGGTCGTTTTCTCTTTTTGGGGGGAGCAGTAACGACAGCTGTGTTCATATCCTTAAAGCATGTTCAGCATGTTCAATCAGTAACAGTTGTGGCTGTTGAAGGGATATTTAGAAACTCTAATAATAATTCACCATCATCCAAACAAACTTTTCAAACGGCCATAATAGAAAATGATGGAGGTATCAACGAAAAAAATTCTTATAAATAGATTCTCCGATAGAAACAGAATAAAAAAATGAAACGAAGTAGGATAAATCATATTCCAATCCCCTAAAAATTTTACACAACCTGTTCTACAGATACTGTCTGGTGGAAATGAACTGGCATAGACTGTCCAGAGAGTCTAGGTTGCTGCTGCACATGAATATAATGAGGCCGCATTAACTGTCCTTGCTGATGTGCATAAACAGTAGGCTGCTGTTGTTGATGCTGTTGCATTTGTCCACGAACTGCGAAACCCTTGAATAATAATCATGAATAAAACTTAATGTCCCAAATTTAACTGATAAAGGAAGTGATTACATAATATCAGGTGATGTAGACACACATATATTGAAATGCAACCAATTTTTCTGATAACAAGCAAAATTAACAGTGAAAAATGAAGCTTTCTGTTTCCAAACTTAACACAATTTAAAAGTTTACAGGAATCACTGGACGTCTCTGGTTGTATTGTGCATAATAAGCTTGAGGTAACTGTTGGCCCTGTGGATTTTGATGCTGGGGAGCAACTATTTGTTGATGTCTTTCCATACTGACCTAAAATATATGAAATAACTACTTAGTAACTTTGCTTGCATTTACAAAAAATGACACAAAATAAGTAACAGCTAACATAACTGCGAAACACCAAAACAATAATGATAAAAACGGTACGAGTGATCCTGAGGCCATATTATCAGGAGTTTAATATAAAAAAGACTGTCATGTTCAGATATACCAGTTACATGCATGCTTAAACATTCAACAGAGTAAAAAAATAACACTTGCTTCTTGAGGAATAGAATGCATCATTTGTTGTTGTTCAGAATGCGCATTTGGCGAGGTAGTTAAAGAAGTTGCATCCATCAAGGCTGCTGAAGGACGAATCCGACCAGGTTGCACCGACGCGCCTAATGCACTTTGTCCCATGTATGGATAAGAGGAATAACCTAGAATAGGCATCACATCTGTTACAAGAACATATTAATGTAGCTATATATCAATCCTTTTCATCGCATACTTTTTACGAATTTTCTTAAAAATATCGTACCAACAGTGCCCTGAGTTTGTGAAGGTGGTGCTGACATTTGCTGCATTACAGGAGCAACCGAAGGATGGGGAACGTGTTGTAAACTGTGCATATTGACACTAGCACCAGGTGATGAACTTCTGAATGCATAATTTAAGACTACAGTAAAAGTGTGTCCGAATGAGCTCATGTGAAAAATTGATTAACCATATTTTCCAAAGATGAGTATAAATCGTAACACTGTATACATTTGATAACAAGGTAAACCTCGATATGACCAACGTATTAAAGCATGATTTTAGAATGCATCGAAAAAAAAAATTACTAACAATTACCTTTAGATCAAGACAAAACAAAGAGTAATTGCGAAACTAAATGAAAACTGACCTCAATAAATTGACCAGCAATGGGCTGCTAGTGTTAGCAGCAGTCTGAGGTTGCTGGTGTTTAACAGAAACCATTCTAGTTGCTGTATTAGGGGCTAGATTTGTCGGTTCTACATAACTTTGCAACTCAACCGCCATATGACTCCTATCTTTATCAACAGCAGCTCTACGTTTTCTCACTGTATGACCAGTTGAGGTTGATGGTGTTAACTGATGACGATTATTTTCACTATAAAGCGATAGATAAAACGATGATGGATACAACGAAAAAGCTAGAATACAAATTGTTTTTATAGAAAACCTATCTATATTTAAATATAATTTTAAAAACTGCGCAGCATTTTGGAAAATTTTCTAGCAAACAGCGTACTTTTGGTAAGGATCATAAACATGTGCTCTGTCAACAGCATCAGCACACACTGGCATACCAACTAAAGAATTCATTTCAGATGTGCTGGACTGAGGCAGTGAAAGTAGGTTTAATGAAGCATCAGTTGCAACTACTGATATTTTGTCCGATTCACCAACTTTTACTGAAGTAATACCTGAAAGCATTTGAGAATAGCTTCAACATTAAATTCGGAACCACTTCCGTTACTGTATTACATAAAATAGTTAAAAAAGGAAGCCACATCAATCGAGATTTAGAATAAAAAATATTGATATTTGAGTCCTAAAAAGGTGAATAATATGATCTAAGTATTTCGATACTTCATTTATCTAAAAGAACATACTGCAAAAAAAACAGTCATCCAATAGAAATAGAAAAAGATTGGATTAATGCAATATTTTCAGAACAAAAAAGAAAATTGTATTTTAGCAGAAGAAAATCACACGAAGCTTCTTACAACTAGCAGTAAGAAAACCGTTCAAACGAAGGCGTACCTAAATGCTTCAACGTATTTGGTTGCTTCAATGCAATTCGAAATAATTTATGGGAAATATCAAGTGGTAGAAACAGTTTGAATCGACGACGTATAGTCCGAGATAACTCGTGGAATGTCTCTTTATCTTCAAAAATATTACTGCTAGTTGTACTAGTGGATGGATAAGCTTCGTCTGTCAGCGTTCTCGCACCGGACGACGAAACAATTTGTTCTGCTGACGCACTCGATGATGGCTCATAATTACAGCTGCTGCTCTCTGGTTCTTCCACTAAAAATTATACGTATTCTGTTCCGTTATAAATATACATATGCAGGTCTGAAGAATTACTAAAAGTTGCTAAATTCATATACATTAGTAATCATTTAAGTCACAAATTTTTCAGAAAGGTATTTCAAAATTTTACAATAATCTGACAACTTTTATTTCTTCTCTTGATAAATTCAAATATAAAATGAATAAAACTTGAGTTCAAAACATTCTCTTCTGTGAACTGGAAATGAACATTAAAAAATTCCTTCCACAACTTCGATTAATGGCAGCCAATTCTGAAGAAGCAAAAATCATTGTCCTACCTTTGTTTAATAATACTTTTGGACAAGAAGTTGTTACACGACTGTCAATCGCAGGACTTGGACTTGAAAGACTAGTAGCAGTAGTGGGACAATCTAACTGCGAAGACGCGGAGGGAGAACAATTAGAAAATTTTGCTGGAGTAGGTACTGCTGAAAGCGATGTTCCCGTCACAATTCTATCCGTTCCAGGTATATTAT